CTGACAATAACCCTCGTAGGGATCAGTCTGACAATAACCCTCGTAGGGATCAGGGCCTGGTCTGTGCACTATTAGGCACGGTACCACTTTTTTTTTTTTATTTATTTATTTAATCACTCCCACGTTTTGTCACTTTTTCTGTTCTTATGTGTGTGTGTTTTTCACGGATGGAGGGTGTGGGTCCTCGGGCCTTACCTGAAGTCTAGGGGGAGGATGTGTGGCCCTACGGTTCCTTCCTCCCCTGATCCCTAGGGGGTTTTTCTCTTCGGGAGAACCCCCTTGCCTAGTACTGGATGTCCGGCTTCGGCTGGGCATAAGGAACGGTGGTCCACCAGGCCTTTTGGCCAGGAGGACCAAATGGGAACCTTGTCCCTGTCAGGAGCTTTGTGCCCCGGGGGATCGGGTGAACGGTCCAACCCTTCCGGGGGTAGGACAAACACACCCCTAAGTGCACTTTTTGTGTGGTGTTCGCACTTGCACATTTTTTTGTGATCACTTACGGGTTTTTCGTTGTAGTTTGCACGTTTGCGGACTTAAAAAAAAAAAAAATAAATAACCCTCGTAGGGATCAGTCTGCCACCTATAAGTGCTTCTTCTCGCTTCTCGGCCTTTTGGCTAAGATCAAGTGTAGTATCTGTTCTTATCAGTGTCCAGTGGGGGTGCTCCCGACCATTCTAGCTTTGCGGGGATGGCTGTTGTATAGTACCCTCACTGGTATGATGGGGGTCCGGAAGGCTGAACCGGAGGGACAGAAACCAGGGAGCGCCATGATGAGCTCTGGGGCCTTGGGAGTAATTCCTCTGGTGAAGCTGGAAAGACCCAGTACCTCCTGATTCGGACGGATCTACCTTGGTCTGGCCTGGGGCTGGGGACGCAAAAAGTCCGCAAACTCAGTGCCCCCTGGGGAAGACGCTCTCAGGGGTGTCACTAGTAACACTTGGGTGTGGGACCCCACGGTGTGAAAATGACACATGGCCACTGTTTTTTCACTTCTTTTTGCACAGCGCCCTAAGGACCAGGTCTTTTGGCTAAGTCCGGGGCAATTTTTGCTACAGGCCTCAGGGCCTGGTCTGTGCACAATTTGGCACGATACCACTTTTTTATTTTCTATTTATTTAATTTAATCACTCCCACGTCTTGTCACTTTTTCTGTTCTTATGTGTGTGTTTTTTCACGGATGGAGGGTGTGGGTCCTCGGGCCTTACCTGAAGTCTAGGGGGAGGATGTGTGCCCCCTACGGTTCCTTCCTCCCCTGATCCCTAGGGGGTTTTCTCTTCGGGAGAACCCCCTTGCCTAGTACTGGATGTCCGGCTTCGGCTGGGCATAAGGAACGGTGGTCCACCAGGCCTTTTGGCCAGGAGGACCAAATGGGAACCTTGTCCCTGTCAGGAGCTTCGTGCCCCGGGGGATCGGGTGAACAGTCCAACCCCTTTAGGGGTAGGACAAACACACCCCCAAGTGCACTTTTTCGTGTGGTGTTCGCACTTGCACATTTTTTGTGAACACTTACGGGTTTTTTCGTTATAGTTGCACGTTTGCGGACTTAAAAAAAAAAAAAATTAAAAAAAAAATAACCCTCGTAGGGATCAGTCTGACAATAACCCTCGTAGGGATCAGTCTGACAATAACCCTCGTAGGGATCAGTCTGACAATAACCCTCGTAGGGATCAGTCTGACAATAACCCTCGTAGGGATCAGCCTGACAATAACCCTCGTAGGGATCAGCCTGACAATAACCCTCGTAGGGATCAGCCTGACAAACCCTCGTAGGGATCAGCCTGACAAAAACCCTCGTAGGGATCAGCCTGACAAAAATCCTCGTAGGGATCAGTCTGACAAAAACCCTCGTAGGGATCAGCCTGACAATAACCCTCGTAGGGATCAGTCTGCCACCTATAAGTGCTTCTTAAAAATCCTCTCCATTTTCTTATGATGCATATTAACCGCATGCCGCCCAGCCACTGTACATATACGGCGGCAGGGCGGCACTCACAGGCAAAACCACGTTTTAAAACATATGTTTTGTAAACAAATAGGGGGCGCGCGCGAGCGAGACGCGCGCTGCCGCCCTATTTGTCCTGTGGATCACCGCCGCAGATGTCAGTTGCCGAGTCACAGCCACTCATTAGCGGCTATGTTCCGGCGATCGGTGGCAAACAGTGACAGACAGCACAGCTGCAGTAGCTGTGCTGTCTGTCACTTCCCTGTCAGCTCGAGGATGAGCTGATCGAGAAAGAAGAGTTTTCTCTTTCTCGATCAGCGGTGTCCCGTCCAGCACACACCCCGCCCCCTAGTAAAACACTCCCCTCAAAACACTCACCCCTTCACACACCCCCCCTAGTAAAAACACTCCCCCTCACACACCCCCCGCCCCTAGTAAAACACTCCCCCTCACACACCCCCGCCCTCTAGTAAAAACACTCCCCTCTCACACACTAGTAAAACCCCCGCCCTCTAGTAAAACACTCCCCCTCACACACCCCTGCCCTCTAGTAAAACACTCCCCCTCACACACCCCTGCCCCCTAGTAAAACACTCCCCCTCACACACCCCGCCCCCTAGTAAAACACTCCCCCTCACACACCTCCGCCCCCTAGTAAAAAACACACCCTCCCCCTAGTCACACACACACCCCGCCCCCTAGTAAAACACTCCCCCTCACTCCTATAACCCTTCCCTGCTAAATAAAGTTAACCCCTTCCCCCCCAGTGCCATTAGTACAGTGTCAGTGGTTTTTTTTTTTTGCACTGATCACTGTATTAGTGTTTTTGGGGATGTCAGTGACCCCAAGTCAGTACCCCCCAATGTCAGAATGTCTGCCGCAGTCCCGCCATAAGTCGCTGATCGCCGCCATAAGTCGCTGATCGCCGCCATTATTAGTATAAAAAAAAACCCCTAAAAATCCCAGTATCTTTCCCGCCATTTATAAACGCTGTAACTTTCACGTAAACCAATTAATTTACACGTATTGGGTTTTTTTGTAGCAAAGACATTTCGGCAGAATACATTTATGACAAATTTGATTTTTGCATTTTTTTTTACTGGACATGTTTTATAGCAAAAAGTCCAAAATATTGTTTTTTTTTCCTCTCAAAAATTGTCAGCCTTTTTTTTTTATAGCACAAAAAATAAAAACCGCACAGGCGATCAAATACCACCGAAAGAAAGCTCAATTTGTGGGGAAAAAAAGGATGTAAATAATTTCATTTATGTACCGTATTGCATGACCGCGCAATTGTCCGTTAAACTAGCGCAGCGCTGTATAGCAGAAAAATGGCGTAAATTGCAGTATCTCTCCCATAGTTTGTAGACACTATAACTTCACACAAAGCAATCAATATACACTTATTGGGATTTTTTTTACCAAAAACAAGGAGCAGAATACATTTTGGCCTAAATTTATAACTAATTTTGAGTTTACTAAATATTTTTTATAGCTGAAAGTAAAAAATATTGTTTTTCTTCAAAATTTTTGGCGTTTTTTTGTTTATAGCGTGAAAAATAAAAAGCGCACAGATGATCAAATACCACCGAAAGAAAGCTTTATTTGTGTGAAAAAAAGGACGTAAATTTCGTTTGGGTGCAGCATTGCATGACCGCGCAATTATCAGTTGAATTAGTGCAGCGCCAAGTAGCAAAAAGAGGCGTGGTCATTAAGGGGGGTAAATCCTCGGGGGAAGAGGGGTTAAATGATGGGTAGCTGATCCATTGTTTTCTCTCCTTTCCTTTTATCTTCAATAAGCTTGTTACGTTCCATCGCCCCAACACCCGGAATAACATTTTGGATAATATCTGATGGGTAACACTTATTAGTAAACCTCTCGCCTAGAGCAAAGCCTGTTCCATGAAACCTCTGAGTACATTTGCTCCTTAGTTGTACCAGCTGACCCTTCGGGATATTCAGCACCAATGGTATGAAATGGCAGCTGTCAATAGGGAGATAACCATTCCTGTCAACAGATTTAAAACTGTTGGTTATGTGTTAGAGAAGACACTGGTAGCTTGTGATGAGGCAGAACACTGTTGTGTGGCTTAAGTTGCAAACATACAGAACACATGTCAGCAGACATCTTGGTTTTTGAAGAGAGGAAGAGAGAGAACCGACAAGTCTTACACATATGCACAACTAGTAACCTTAGTGTAGAGCGCCACCTACTGGTCAAGTGATATTAACACACAATACTATACAGTACATGCTGTTGTATCTCCAACAATAATAAGTCTTCGTGACTCTGCCTCCCTGCAAGTGAGATGGTTAAATCTACAAAATGAACGCTGACATCGCTGGATTCCCAGGAAAAGTGGATATTCCGGGAGTTTGCATCCAATTGGTTCAGAAAGCTGATGATCTGGGTTTCCTCCCCCCATATAATAATGACATCATCAATGTATCTCTTGTATAATTTCGGTCCTTCAGGAGGTTGGCTATAAACAGCATCTTCCTCCCATGGTGCCATGCAGAGATTGGCTACACTGGGGGCAATACCAGCCCCATAGCCACGCCTTTCACCGGACGAAAAAACTGCTTATCGTGCCAAAAATAATTGTGCCGTACACAAAGATCTAAGCGTTCCAAAATATATCTTCTCTGTGACCCCCGTAGATCCCCTAAGTCCCTCCAGCCCCACCCAGTGGCTTCCATGGCGTCTCGATGGCAGATAATAGTACGTCAGCCAAAGAAAGAGATTCAACCCGCAAGTCCTCCAATAGACGAATCGGATGTTCAGTATCCTCACATATGATCCAGTTTTCTGAACTAATGGCTGCAAGAAAAAATCTACATACTGGCCCATCCCCCACAGATTGGACGCCGTTAACAGTGGGACGGCCTGGGGGGCATTGACTATCTTTATGAATTTTGGGTAAAGTATATATAATTGGTAACCGACAAGGATCTGGCACTAAAAATCTGGACTCCTTATTTAACCGCCTCCCGCCCGCCATATAGTCCAATGACGGGCGCAAGGCGGTTCTCTCGTTCTGGGAGGACATCATATGACGTCCTCCCGTTCTCATCGCGCGCATGCGCGGCTCAGGGAGTGCGCAGCATGACGATCGGTGGTGCACCGTGTCCCTCGGACACAGCGGATCACCGATCACGGAAAGTGCCGAAGATGTCGGCTCGGTCATGTGATCAGCTGTGTCCAATCACAGCTGATCACATGTAAAAAGGGAAATGCCGGTTATCGGCATTTCTCTCCTCTCGAGCTGTCACGCTGACAGAGGAGAGGAGCGGAGAGCCGGTAATCGGCATTCCTCAGAGGGGACATCTACACTGATGATCTGTGTAGTCCCAGCAGCACCACCTGTCAGTGTCCATCAGTGCCAGCTATCAGTGCTCATCCATGCCACCTGCCAGTGCCCACCAGTGCCACATCAATGCCACATATCAGTGCCCATCTGAGCTGCCTTTCAGTGTCAGCCATCACTGCCAGTGAGTGCCACCTATCAATGCCAGTCAGTGCCACCTATCAGTGCCAATTATAAGTGCCAGTCAGTGCCGCCTAACAGTGCCACCTACCAATGCCAACTATAAGTGCCAGTCAGTGCCGCCTACCAGTGCCGCCTATCAGTGTCATATATGAGTGTTGCCTTTCAGTGCCCATCAGTGCCACCTATCAGTGTCCATCAGTGCAGCCTCATTAGCGCACATCAGCGAAGGAGAAAAATAACTTTATTTACAAAATTTTTATAATAAAGACGAAGAAAAAACATTTTTTTTTCAAAATTTACAGTGGTTTTTGGTTTAGTTGAGAAAAAATAAAATCCCCGAGGTGATTAAATACCACCAAAATAAAGCTCTGTCTGTCTCAAAAAAATGATAAATATTTCATATGGGTACAGTGTTGCATGACTGCGCAATTGTCATGCAAAGTGTGATAGCGCTGGCAGCTGGAAATTGGCCTGGGCAGGAAGGGGGTAGAAGTGTCCTGTAGGCAGGAAGGGGGTAGAAGTGCCCTGTAGGCAGGAAGGGGGTAGAAGTGTCCTGTAGGCAGGAAGGGGGTAGAAGTGTCCTGTAGGCAGGAAGGGGGTAGAAGTGTCCTGTAGACAGGAAGGGGGTAGAAGTGTCCTGTAGGCAGGAAGGGGGTAGAAGTGCCCTGTAGGCAGGAAGGGGGTAGAAGTGCCCGGTAGGCAGGAAGGGGGTAGAAGTGTCCTGTAGGCAGGAAAGGGGGTAGAAGTGTCCGGTAGGCAGGAAGGGGGTAGAAGTGCCCTGTAGGCAGGAAGGGGGTAGAAGTGTCCTGTAGGCAGGAAGGGGGTAGAAGTGTCCTGTATGCAGGAAGGGGGTAGTAGTGTCCTGTATGCAGGAAGGGGGTAGAAGTGCCCTGTAGGCAGGAAGGGGGTAGAAGTGTCCGGTAGGCAGGAAGGGGGTGACAGTGTCTGGTAGGCAGGAAGGGGGGGTAGAAGTGTCCGGTAGGCAGGAAGGGGGTAGAAGTGCCCGGTAGGCAGGAAGGGGGTAGAAGTGTCCTGTAGGCAGGAAGGGGGTAGAAGTGCTCTGTAGGCAGGAAGGGGGTAGAAGTGTCCGGTAGGCAGGAAGGGGGTGACAGTGTCTGGTAGGCAGGAAGGGGGTAGAAGTGTCCGGTAGGCAGGAAGGGGGTAGAAGTGTCCGGTAGGCAGGAAGGGGGTGACAGTGTCTGGTAGGCAGGAAGGGGTAGAAGTGTCCGGTAGGCAGGAAGGGGGTAGAAGTGCTCGGTAGGCAGGAAGGGGGTAGAAGTGTCCTGTAGGCGGGAAGGGGGTAGAAGTGTCCGGTAGGCAGGAAGGGGGTAGAAGTGTCCGGTAGGCAGGAAGGGGGTAGAAGTGTCCGGTAGGCAGGAAGGGGGTAGAAGTGTCCGGTAGGCAGGAAGGGGGTAGAAGTGCCCGGTAGGCAGGAAGGGGGTAGAAGTGTCCTGTAGGCAGGAAGGGGGTAGAAGTGCCAGGTAGGCAGGAAGGGGGTATAAGTGTCCTGTAGGCAGGAAGGGGGTAGAAGTGTCCTGTAGTCAGGAAGGGGGTGGCAGTGCCCGGTGGGCAGGAAGAGGGTAGAAGTGTCCTGTAGGCAGGAAGGGGGTAGAAGAGTCCGGAAGGCAGGAAGGGGGTATAAGTGTCCTGTAGGCAGGAAGGGGGTAGAAGTGTCCTGTAGGCAGGAAGGGGGTAGAAGTGCCCTGTAGTCAGGAAGGGGGTGGCAGTGCCCAGTGGGCAGGAAGGCGGTAGAAGTGTCCGGTGGGCAAGAAGGGGGTAGAAGTGTCCAGTAGGCAGGAAGGGGGTAGAAGTGTCCGGTAGGCAGGAAGGGGGTAGAAGTATCCGGTAGGCAGGAAGGGGGTAGAAGTGCCCGGTAGGCAGGAAAGGGGTAGAAGTGTCCTGCAGGCAGGAAGGGGGTAGAAGTGTCCTGTAGTCAGGAAGGGGGTGGCAGTGCCCGGTGGGCAGGAAGGGCGGTAGAGGGATCGGTGGAGGGATGTGATCGGTGGACGGAGGGATGTGATCGGTGGAAGGAGGGATGTGATCGGAGGACGGAGGGATGTGATCGGAGGACGGATGTGATCGGTGGAGGGATGTGATCGGTGGAGGGATGTGATCGGTGGATGGAGGGATGTGATCGGTGGACGGAGGGCTGTGATCGGTGGACGGAGGGATGTGATCGGAGGACGGAGGGATGTGATCGGTGGAGGGATGTGATCGGTGGACAGAGGAATGTGATCGGTGGAGGGATGTGATCGGAGGACGGAGGGATGTGATCGGTGGACGGAGGGATGTGATCGGTGGAACGGAGGGATGTGATCGGTGACGGAGGGATGTGATCGGAGGACGGAGGGATGTGATAGGTGGAGGGAGGGATGTGATCGGTGGAGGGATGTGATCGGAGGACGGAGGGATGTGATCGGTGGACGGAGGGATGTGATCGGTGGACGGAGGGATGTGATCGGTGGAGGGATGTGATCGGTGGACGGAGGGATGTGATCGGTGGAGGGATGTGATCGGTGGAGGGAGGGATGTGATCGGTGGACGGAGGGATGTGATCGGTGGAGGGATGTGATCGGAGGACGGAGGGATGTGATCGGTGGACGGAGGGATGTGATCGGTGGACGGAGGGATGTGATCGGTGGAGGGAGGGATGTGATCGGTGGACGGAGGGATGTGATCGGTGGACGGAGGGATGTGATCGGTGGACGGAGGGATGTGATCGGTGGAGGGATGTGATCGGTGGACGGAGGGATGTGATCGGTGGAGGGATGTGATCGGTGGAGGGAGGGATGTGATCGGAGGACGGAGGGATGTGATCGGTGGACGGAGGGATGTGATCGGTGGACGGAGGGATGTGATCGGTGGATGGAGGGATGTGATCGGTGGAGGGATGTGATCGGAGGACGGAGGGATGTGATCGGAGGACGGAGGGATGTGATCGGTGGACGGAGGGATGTGATCGGTGGACGGAGGGATGTGATCGGTGGACGGAGGGATGTGATCGGTGGACGGAGGGATGTGATCGGAGGACGGAGGGATGTGATCGGTGGACGGAGGGATGTGATCGGTGGACGGAGGGATGTGATCGGTGAACGGAGGGATGTGATCGGAGGACGGAGGGATGTGATAGGTGGAGGGAGGGATGTGATCGGTGGAGGGAGGGATGTGATCGGAGGACGGAGGGATGTGATCGGTGGACGGAGGGATGTGATCGGAGGACGGAGGGATGTGATCGGTGGACGGAGGGATGTGATCGGTGGACGGAGGGATGTGATCGGTGGAGGGATGTGATCGGTGGACGGAGGGATGTGATCGGTGGAGGGATGTGATCGGTGGAGGGAGGGATGTGATCGGTGGACGGAGGGATGTGATCGGTGGATGGAGGGATGTGATCGGAGGACGGAGGGATGTGATCGGAGGACGGAGGGATATGATCGGTGGAGGGATGTGATCGGAGGACGGAGGGATGTGATCGGAGGACGGAGGGATGTGATCGGTGGACGGAGGGATGTGATCGGTGGACGGAGGGATGTGATCGGTGGACGGAGGGATGTGATCGGTGGAGGGATGTGATCGGTGGACGGAGGGATGTGATCGGTGGAGGGATGTGATCGGAGGAGGGATGTGATCGGTGGACGGAGGGATGTGATCGGTGGACGGAGGGATGTGATCGGTGGAGGGAGGGATGTGATCGGTGGAGGGATGTGATCGGTGGAGGGATGTGATCGGTGGACGGAGGGATGTGATCGGTGGACGGAGGGATGTGATCGGAGGAGGGCTGTGATCGGTGGACGGAGGGCTGTGATCGGTGGACGGAGGGATGTGATCGGTGGAGGGAGGGATGTGATCGGTGGAGGGATGTGATCGGAGGAGGGATGTGATCAGTGGACGGAGGGATGTGATCGGTGGACGGAGGGATGTGATCGGAGGAGGGATGTGATCGGTGGACGGAGGGATGTGATCGGTGGAGGGAGGGATGTGATCGGTGGAGGGATGTGATCGGTGGACGGAGGGATGTGATCGGTGGAGGGATGTGATCGGTGGACGGAGGGATGTGATCGGTGGAGGGAGGGATGTGATCGGGGATGGGATGTGAGGGATCGGGTGGACGGAGGGATGTGATCGGAGGACGGAGGGATGTGATCGGTGGAGGGAGGGATGTGATCGGTGGAGGGATGTGATCGGTGGACGGAGGGATGTGATCGGAGGACGGAGGGATGTGATCGGTGGAGGGAGGGATGTGATCGGTGGAGGGATGTGATCGGTGGACGGAGGGATGTGATCGGTGGAGGGAGGGATGTGATCGGTGGAGGGATGTGATCGGTGGACGGAGGGATGTGATCGGTGGACGGAGGGATGTGATCGGTGGACGGAGGGATGTGATCGGTGGAGGGATGTGATCGTGTCGGTGGAGGGAGGGATGTGATCGGTGGAGGGATGTGATCGGTGGACGGAGGGATGTGATCGGTGGAGGGAGGGATGTGATCGGTGGAAGGATGTGATCGGTGGACGGAGGGATGTGATCGGTGGAGGGATGTGATCGGTGGAGGGATGTGATCGGAGGAGGGATGTGATCGGTGGACGGAGGGATGTGATCGGTGGACGGAGGGATGTGATCGGTGGACGGAGGGATGTGATCGGTGGAGGGAGGGATGTGATCGGTGGAGGGAGGGATGTGATCGGTGGAGGGAGGGATGTGATCGGTGGACGGAGGGATGTGATCGGTGGAGGGATGTCATCGGTGGACGGAGGGCTGTGATCGGTGGAGGGATGTCATCGGTGGACGGAGGGCTGTGATCGGTGGAGGGATGTCATCGGTGGACGGAGGGCTGTGATCGGTGGACGGAGGGCTGTGATCGGTGGACGGGGGGCTGTGATCGGTGGATGGAGGGCTGTGATCGGTGGACGGAGGGCTGTGATCGGTGGACGGGGGGCTGTGATCGGTGGGACGGGGGGCTGTGATCGGTGGACGGAGGGATGTGATCGGTGGACGGAGGGATGTGATCGGTGGACGGAGGGATGTGATCGGTGGACGGAGGGATGTGATCGGTGGAGGGAGGGATGTGATCGGTGGAGGGATGTGATCGGTGGACGGAGGGCTGTGATCGGTGGACGGAGGGATGTGATCGGAGGACGGAGGGATGTGATCGGTGGAGGGATGTGATCGGTGGACAGAGGAATGTGATCGGTGGAGGGATGTGATCGGAGAACGGAGGGATGTGATCGGTGGATGGAGGGCTGTGATCGGTGGACGGAGGGATGTGATCGGTGTGACGGGAGGGATGTGATCGATCGGTGGAGGGATGTGATCGGAGGAGGGATGTGATCGGTGGAGGAGGGATGTGATCGGTGGACGGGGCTGTGATCGGTGGACGGAGGGATGTGATCGGTGGACGGAGGGCTGTGATCGGTGGAGGAGGGCTGTGATCGGTGGAGGGAGGGATGTGATCGGTGGATGGAGGGCTGTGATCGGTGGAGGGAGGGGGCTGTGATCGGTGGATGGAGGGCTGTGATCGGTGGGCGGAGGGATGTGATCGGTGGGCGGAGGGATGTGATCGGTGGATGGAGGGCTGTGATTGGTGGATGGAGGGCTGTGATCGGTGGGCGGAGGGATGTGATCGGTGGATGGAGGGCTGTGATTGGTGGATGGAGGGCTGTGATTGGTGGATGGAGGGCTGTGATTGGTGGATGGAGGGATGTGATCGGTGGATGGAGGGCTGTGATTGGTGGATGGAGGGCTGTGATCGGTGGAGGGAGGGATGTGATCGGTGGAGGGATGTGATCGGTGGACGGAGGGATGTGATCGGTGGAGGGAGGGATGTGATCGGTGGATGGAGGGATGTGATCGGTGGATGGAGGGATGTGATCGGTGGATGGAGGGCTGTGATTGTGGATGGTGTGATGGAGGGCTGTGATTGGTGGATGGGATGTGATCGGTGGATGGAGGGCTGTGATTGGTGGATGGAGGGCTCGGTATATATATATCAAGTCTCTCTATATCTCTTATATTTGATAAGAATGATGACTAGAAGGGGGCGGGGTTCTCTCTGCCATCAGGTCGCTTTGATTGGAGAACAGAATCCGGAGTCGGAGGAGAGGACGATCTTACTTTCCTTTGAACAAGTGTCACTTTATTTACAATGAACACTCCTCCATACAATGCATTTGCCGGGTGATTGGAGCCCTCAGGCTGACAGTCCAGATTAAGGGTTTGAATTTGAAGTTATTTGTAGCTAAGGCGGGAAAATGTTGAATCCCCGCCCCCTCCCCGCCTCACGCGGGTGGATAAGGGTGACCTGCAGGCCGCCATTTTTTATGAATTTTAGTCTTACAACCAACCAATGGCTGCTGAGTGGAGCTCCACTCGACTGGAAACATGTGACCTCCACTCCAATTTAAGTTCTTTTCATAGCAATGAGGGTGTGTGGCCGCAGACTGGAGCTCCGTTTTCGACAGGAAGCACGTGACTTCCATTTTTTTAAAGAAAAAGTAGAGTGGAGGTCACATGTTTCCTGTAGAATATGGAGCTCCATTGTGCGGCCACACCCCCCTCGTACAATTAGAATATCAATCATCAGGAAAGACGAAATCTAAGTTCCTGGTAGGAGGTTTTCCCGGAACAAAGATGGCCGCCGTGCCCTCAAAGACGTTATAAGTGTGCGACTCACCTAGCTGTGTATATGGCGGCCGAGTGCTGACATTGAAGCGAGAACAGCGATGTGGGCGGTCGCACAGCTGATGGCGAGGACCCGGGTGAGGAGGAGGGGCTCGATGTGGCCCCTTAGGGACCCATGGAGGTAGTCTGGGTGTTGGAGCTCCAAGTACCTCATCTCTGGTCATCCCCTGTACTGTGTCCGCAGTCTCTGGCCGTCCCCTGTGCCGCGTCCGCAGTCTCTGGCCGTCCATTGTGCCGCGTCCGCAGTCTCTGGCCGTCCATTGTGCCGCGTCCGCAGTCTCTGGCCGACCCCTGTGCCGCGTCCGCAGTCTCTGGCCGTCCCCTGTGCCGCGTCCGCAGTCTCTGGTCGTCCCCTGTGCCGCGTCCGCAGTCTCTGGCCGTCCCCTGTGCCGCGTCCGCAGTCTCTGGCCGTCCCCTGTGCCGCGTCCGCAGTCTCTGGCCGTCCCCTGTGCCGCGTCCGCAGTCTCTGGCCGTCCCCTGTGCCGCGTCCGCAGTCTCTGGCCGTCCCCTGTGCCGCGTCCGCAGTCTCTGGCCGTCCCCTGTGCCACGTCCGCAGTCTCTGGCCGTCCCCTGTACTACAGTGAAGGAAATGTGTATTTGCTCCCCTGCGTGTCGTCCGCCATCCCTGCAGCGTGTCGTCCGCCGTCTCTGGCTGCCCCCTGCAGCGTGTCGTCCGCCATCCCTGCAGCGTGTCGTCCGCCGTCTCTGGCCGTCCCCTGCAGCGTGTCGTCCGCCGTCTCTGGCCGTCCCCTGCAGCGTGTCGTCCGCCGTCTCTGACCGTCCCCCGCAGCGTGTCGTTCGCCGTCTCTGACCGTCCCCCGCAGCGTGTCGTCCGCCGTCTCTGACCGTCCCCCGCAGCGTGTCGTCCGCCGTCTCTGACCGTCCCCTGCAGCGTGTCGTCCGCCGTCTCTGACCGTCCACTGTACCCTGGCCGCAGTCTCTGGTTGTATGGGGGGGGCACAATACACACACCAATCGTTCTCTGTGATCTCTTGCAGACCTGTGTCCTGTGCCGGGTGAGCCGATCGTTATCGGGGAGGACGGAGGGGGAGCAGAGGATCACACAGGTGCTGAAGGACAGATTCCCTCAGGCCTCTCACCTTCGTGTTGTGGATATCTCAGGTAACTGATGAAATTTTATAAAAAGAACAAACAAGCCCCCCCCCCCCCCCCCATTCTCCCATTGTTCCACAATAATGGGGGATCTTGGGGAGGTGGGGGGGAATAATTGGGGATCTGTGTGCTGTACTCGGGCCACACAACAATGACCTCCTTATTTACCCTCTGACGTGGGGGGATCCTACTCACATGAATCGGTGTGACCTCTGACCTGTGGGGGGGTTCGTGGTCACATGAATCGGTGTGACCTGTGGGGGGGAATCCTGCTCACATGAAGCGCTGTGACCTCTGACCTGTGGGGGGTTCGTGGTCACATGAATTGGTGTGACCTGGGGGGGGGAGTTCGTGGTCACATTAATCGGTGTGACCTCTGACCTGTGGGGGGGGTTCGTGGTCACATGAATTGGTCTGACCTCTGACCTGTGGGGGGGGGGGGGGTTCGTGGTCACATGAATCGGTGTGACCTCTGACCTGGGGGGGGGTTCGTGGTCACATGAATCGGTGTGACCTCTGACCTGGGGGGGGGTTCGTGGTCACATGAATTGGTGTGACCTCTGACCTGGGGGGGGGGAGGGTTCGTGGTCACATGAATCGGTGTGACCTCTGGCCTGGGGGGGGGAGGGTTCGTGGTCACATGAATCGGTGTGACCTCTGACCTGTGGGAGGGGTTCGTGGTCACATGAATCGGTGTGACCTCTGACCTGTGGGGGGGGATCCTGTTCACATGAATCGGTGTGACCTCTGACCTGTGGGGGGGGGATCCTGTTCACATGAATCGGTGTGACCTCTGACCTGTGGGGGGGGGATCCTGTTCACATGAATCGGTGTGACCTCTGACCTGTGGGGGGGGGATCCTGTTCACATGAATCGGTGTGACCTCTGACCTGTGGGGGGGGGGGGTTCGTGGTCACATGAATCGGTGTGACCTCTGACCTGTGGGGGGATCCTGTTCACATGAATCGGTGTGACCTCTGACCTGTTGGGGGGGGTTCGTGTGGTCACATGAATCGGTGTGACCTCTGACCTGTGGGAGGGATCCTGTTCACATGAATCGGTGTGACCTCTGACCTGTTGGGGGGGGGGGGGGGGTTCGTGGTCACATGAATCGGAGTGACCTCTGACCTGTGGGGGGGATCCTGTTCACATGAATCGGTGTGACCTCTGACCTGTGGGGGGGATCCTGTTCACATGAATCGGTGTGACCTCTGACCTGTTGGGGGGGGGGGGGGGGGGTTCGTGGTCACATGAATCGGTGTGACCTCTGACCTGTGGGGGGGTGGTTCGTGGTCACATGAATCGGTGTGACCTCTGACCTGTGGGGGGGGGGGTTCGTGGTCACATGAATCGGTGTGACCTCTGACCTGTGGGGGGGGGGGGTTCGTGGTCACATGAATCGGTGTGACCTCTGACCTGTGGGGGGGGGGGGGGGTTCGTGGTCACATGAATCGGTGTGACCTCTGACCTGTGGGGGGGATCCTGTTCACATGAATCGGTGTGACCTCTGACCTGTTGGGGGGGGGGGGGGGTTCGTGGTCACATTAATCGGAGTGACCTCTGACCTGTGGGGGGGATCCTGTTCACATGAATCGGTGTGACCTCTGACCTGTGGGGGGGATCCTGTTCACATGAATCGGTGTGACCTCTAACCTGTTGGGGGGGGTTCGTGGTCACATGAATCGGTGTGACCTCTGACCTGGGGGGGGGTGGTTCGTGGTCACATGAATCGGTGTGACCTCTGACCTGTGGGGGGGTGGTTCGTGGTCACATGAATCGGTGTGACCTCTGACCTGTGGGGGGGGTTCGTGGTCACATGAATCGGTGTGACCTCTGACCTGTGGGGGGGATCCTGGTCACATGAATCGGTGTGACCTCTGACCTGTGGGGGGTTCGTGGTCACATGAATCGGTGTGACCTGTGGGGGGGATCCTGTTCACATGAATCGGTGTGACCTCTGACCTGTGGGGGGGGTTCGTGGTCACATGAATCGGTGTGACCTCTGACCTGTGGGGGGTTCATGGTCACATGAATCGGTGTGACCTCTGACCTGTGGGGGGGGGGGTGTTCGTGGTCACATGAATCGGTGTGACCTCTGACCTGTGGGGGGGGATCCTGACACATGAATCGGTGTGACCTCTGACCTGTGGGGGGGGATCCTGTTCACATGAATCGGTGTGACCTCTGACCTGTGGGGGGGGATCCTGTTTCACATGAATCGGTGTGACCTCTGACCTGTGGGGGGATCCTGTTCACATGAATCGGTGTGACCTCTGACCTGTGGGGAGGGGGGGTTCGTGGTCACATGAATCGGTGTGACCTCTGACCTGTGGGGGGGGATCCTGTTCACATGAATCGGTGTGACCTCTGACCTGTAGGGGGGATCCTGTTCACATGAATCGGTGTGACCTCTGACCTGTGGGGGGGGTTCGTGGTCACATGAATCGGTGTGACCTCTGACCTGTGGGGGGGATCCTGGTCACATGAATCGGTGTGACCTCTGACCTGTGGGGGGTTCGTGGTCACATGAATCGGTGTGACCTCTGACCTGTGGGGGGGATCCTGTTCACATGAATCGGTGTGACCTCTGACCTGTGGGGGGGATCCTGTTCACATGAATCGGTGTGACCTCTGACCTGTGGGGGGGATCCTGTTCACATGAATCGGTGTGACCTCTGACCTGTGGGGGGGGTTCGTGGTCACATGAATCGGTGTGACCTCTGACCTGTGGGGGGGGTTCGTGGTCACATGAATCGGTGTGACCTCTGACCTGTAGGGGGGGTTCGTGGTCACATGAATCGGTGTGACCTCTGACCTGTGGGGGGTTCGTGGTCACATGAATCGGTGTGACCTCTGACCTGTGGGGGGTTCATGGTCACATGAATCGGTGTGACCTCTGACCTGTGGGGGGGGGGGGTGTTCGTGGTCACATGAATCGGTGTGACCTCTGACCTGTGGGGGGGATCCTGTTCACATGAATCGGTGTGACCTCTGACCTGTGGGGGGGGGGGGTGTTCGTGGTCACATGAATCGGTGTGACCTCTGACCTGTGGGGGGGATCCTGTTCACATGAATCGGTGTGACCTCTGACCTGTGGGGGGGGATCCTGTTCACATGAATCGGTGTGACCTCTGACCTGTGGGGGGGGATCCTGTTCACATGAATCGGTGTGACCTCTGACCTGTGGGGGGGGATCCTGTTCACATGAATCGGTGTGACCTCTGACCTGTGGGGGGGGATCCTGTTCACATGAATCGGTGTGACCTCTGACCTGTGGGGGGGGATCCTGTTCACATGAATCGGTGTGACCTCTGACCTGTGGGGGGTGTTCGTGGTCACATGAATCGGTGTGACCTCTGACCTGTGGGGGGTGTTCGTGGTCACATGAATCGGTGTGACCTCTGACCTGTGGGGGGTGTTCGTGGTCACATGAATCGGTGTGACCTCTGACCTGTGGGGGGGTTCGTGGTCACATGAATCGGTGTGACCTCTGACCTGTGGGGGGGATCCTGTTCACATGAATCGGTGTGACCTCTGACCTGTGGGGGGGATCCTGTTCACATGAATCGGTGTGACCTCTGACCTGTGGGGGGGATCCTGTTCACATGAATCGGTGTGACCTCTGACCTGTGTGTGTGGGGGGGGGTGTTCGTGGTCACATGAATCGGTGTGACCTCTGACCTGTGTGGGGGGGGGGGTTCGTGGTCACATGAATCGGTGTGACCTCTGACCTGTGTGGGGGGGGGTTCGTGGTCACATGAATCGGTGTGACCTCTGACCTGTGTGGGGGGGGGGGTTCGTGGTCACATGAATCGGTGTGACCTCTGACCTGTGTGGGGGGGGGGGGTTCGTGGTCACATGAATCGGTGTGACCTCTGACCTGTGGGGGGGATCCTGTTCACCCCCACTCCATGTTTGTGGTCAGCCTACTATAGAGCTTGAAGGGGGACTCCAGCCCAGCTTTCCTGTCTTCTCTCAGGAGGCGGGACTGGGAGATCTGCGCTCGGATTCTCGCCTATGTGATTGGTTCGGGAGCAGAGTGAGCGCAGCTCAGGCCCAAAGCCAAACATTTGTGTGGATAGTGTGGGGGAGGGGTAGAACCTCTGTATTATCACTGCCTGTGCCCCCCCTTGGGGTCATAGAGACAGGAAGTGATGGGAAATCCTTCCTGTGGGGTCAGCGATGGCGACAAGAACCGTCTCTTCCTAGGAGAGCGTGGAACGTCCTCTACAATCAGTCACCTGATCTAGGCAGCCGTGGTAGTGGGGGGAGGGGGGACGTTCTACCTGACCAGCCCGACACCACATGGCTCATTCTAGAACATTCTGTGACACCATTTTGGGCTGATAGGATAAGAGACAAGCCCCTCCCCCCCTGGAGAGGATGAGACTCCTCCCCCTAGGAGAGGCATGCCCCTCCCTAATGTACTATTTTGTTAGTCACTCCCATCGATGGCCCCTCCCATTTCTTCGTCCAGGAGGCTGCGGGTCGATGTATGAGATCCATGTGGAGTCTGAAGAGTTCCGAGAGAAGCGAACCGTCCAGCAACATCAGATGGTGAACGAGGTGAGTGCCGGATTGTGACCACTGGGGTCTCCCCGAGCACAACTTGTATGATGGGGGGGCCTGGGCTCACCTTCTGGAGGTTGGGGGGGAGGGGACTGGGCTCACCTTCTGGAGGTGGGGGGGGGGGGGGGGAGAGGACTGGGCTCACCTTCTGGGGGGACTGGGCTCACCTTCTGGAGGTGGGGGGGGGTTTCCTATCAGGTGACCCCTTAAAGATTACACACATCCTGATCCGGCGGGGGTTCACCCTTTTACCTGCGGGGCGTTCATCTTGGGGAGGGGTGGAATTAACAAATCTGGGGAAGTTGTGCCTGGCAACCAATCGGCTTCTAGTTTTCACTGTCAAACAAGCTGAAGCTAGAAGCTGATTGGTTGGCAGGCACAAGACTGCGGAGGGGGGATTTACTAAGGCTCATTTCTTGCCTTCTGTGGGGATGGGGGTATGTGTCCCCTCTATGTGGCCCCCTTTGGGGAGTGGGGGTATTGTGTCCCCTTTTTGGGGGATGGGGGGGAGAGCCGTAGAGACTGCTGGGGGGAGCCGTAGAGACTGCTGGGGGGAGCCGTAGAGACTGCTGGGGGGAGCCGTAGAGACTGCTGGGGGATGGGGGGCTGGAGGTACTGCTGGGGGATGTCGGGTGGGGCTGGAGGTACTGCTGGGGGATGTCGGGTGGGGCTGGAGGTACTGCTGGGGGATATCGGGTGGGGCTGGAGGTACGGCTGGGGGATGGGGGGGCTGGAGGTACGGCTGGGGGATGGGGGGGCTGGAGGTACGGCTGGGGGATGGGGGGGCTGGAGGTACTGCTGGGGGATATCGGGTGGGGCTGGAGGTACTGCTGGGGGGTGGGGAGCCGTAGCTACTGCTGGGGGATGTCGGGCGGGGCTGGAGGTACTGCTGGGGGGTGGGGGGCTGGAGGTACTGCTGGGGGATGGGGGGCTGGAGGTACTGCTGGGGGATGTCGGGCGGGGCTGGAGGTACTGCTGGGGGGTGGGGGGCTGGAGGTACTGCTGGGGGATGGGGGGCTGGAGGTACTGCTGGGGGATGCTGTGCGTCGGGGCCAACAACGCTGCTGTAGTATAAGCTGTGGGTGTGGTCAGACAGAAGTGATGTCACCAATGATGGGTGGTCAGCTGTGGCCCCTCCCATGGTCCTCCATCCATGAATGTTCTCATTTCCTCTTTCAGGCCCTACAGGAGGAGATAAAGTCGATGCACGGCCTGAGGATCTTCACCTCTGTCCCCAGCCAATGAAAAGAGACTTGCTAGGACCCTCCCACCACCGGTACTGGATGCTGCGACTTCCTGTATTCCTATATTCTAATAAATCCCGATGAACGCGATGGGCGGAGTCAGCTTATTATTCTTCGCTAACTGCTGCAAAGTGACAGTTGTGGTCACATGACGTCGTCCATTCCGGGGTTTCCCCAGGAAAGAAGTGTCCCTGGCCATGGCAGTAGGGGCCGGATTCCCCTTCCCACCCCCCAGAGGATCACTGGAGGACTGCTGGATCCGAGGAGGAGGAGACCTGTGAATCCAGCCAATGGCATGAAAGGTGAGTTTGTCATGTGAAGACCTCGCAGCTGGGACCGGTCAGAGTTTGATCTGTGTGTGGGCAGGTTGGTTGTATCTACAAATCCACTTCTGTACAACCAGCCCGACGGATTATCTCTGCATGATCAGCGCTGCCGGCCTATCCAGCGATGCCGATCCGTGTATTCCACAGAGATCTGGGCTTAGGTCTCCGAGGTGGACAGAGAACCACCTACCTGCCGAGGGGGGTCACCCCAATACTGATCATAGGGAGAAGGGTTGTCACCCCAATACTGATCACAGGAAGAAGGGGGGGTCACCCCAATACTGATCACAGGGTATGGAGGAGTCACCCCCAATACTGATCACGGGGTATGGGGGGGTCACCCCAATACTGATCACAGGAAGAAGGGGGGGGTCACCCCAATACTGATAGGGAGAAGCGTTGTCACCCCAATACTGATCACGGTATGGGGGAGTCACCCCAATACTGATCACAGGAAGAAGGGGGGTCACCCTAATACTGATCATAGGAAGAAGGGGGTCACCCCAATACTTATCACGGGGTATGGGGGGTCACCCCAATACTTATCACGGGGTATGGGGGGTCACCCCAATACTTATCACGGGGTATGGGGGGGTCACCCAATACTGATCACGGGGTATGGGGGGTCACACCAATACTGATCACGGGGTATGGGGGTCACACCAATACTGATCACGGGGTATGGGGGTCACACCAATACTGATCACGGGGTATGGGGGGGTCACACCAATACTGATCACGGGGTATGGGGGTCACACCAATACTGATCACGGGGTATGGGGGGTCACACCAATACTGATCACGGGGTATGGGGGTCACACCAATACTGATCACGGGGTATGGGGGTCACACCAATACTGATCACGGGGTATGGGGGGTCACACCAATACTGATCACGGGGTATGGGGGGTCACACCAATACTGATCACGGGGTATGGGGGGTCACACCAATACTGATCACGGGTATATGGGGGGTCACACCAATACTGATCACGGGGTATGGGGGGTCACACCAATACTGATCACGGGGTATGGGGGTCACACCAATACTGATCACGGGGTATGGGGGTCACACCAATACTGATCACGGGGTATGGGGGGTCACACCAATACTGATCACGGGGTATGGGGGTCACACCAATACTGATCACAGGATATGGGGGTTACCCCAATTCTTATATCGGGACATGGGGGGAGGGTCACCCCAATATTGCTCACAGGGGAGGGGGGAGGAACAGGCAGGGGAAGGCTTTTGCTGTAATACAAGGATTGCAGGGAATACATTAAAGTGGGGCTCCACCCAAACATGGAAGCTCCGTTTATCTCTCCTCCCCTTTCTGCTGTCACTTTTGGGACCCGGGGGGGAGGGTGATTGGGGGGGGTGTCGGGTATCTGGTCCTGACAGGTGTCCATCTTCTGGCTCACATCACCACAGTGAACTGCTGGAAGTTGGCCCCCCCCACTGCCCTCCGGGACATTTCACAGGTCCCGCGCTGCGGTCCATTCACACAGCGCAGTAGGAATCTGGCTGTACAGCTGGGAGGGGCTTCACTGCTGGTTTCCCTTAATCAAGATGGCGGCGCCAGCACCTGGCAGCTGATTGAAGAATCAGCTTGGAGTGAGGACACGGCCGGGGCCCGGGACAGGTAGGGGCCCGAACATCAACAGCCGCAGGATTTGTAGCTGACATTTATCTGAGGGGGGAGGGGAGGGGGGTGTAAACTCTACTTCAGGGTAAGAATTCTTTTGCCTTTAGGAGTTGTCTCCTCCCCCACGGCGGCCTCCGGAAGGGCGAACGGCCACTGGGGTCTTTCAGTGGCTCCATTTAGGTCTCCACCATAGCTATGTGTGTGGGTGTTCCCCTGTGAGGGACTTGTGGGGTGCAGAAAATGGGGTGCAGAAAATGGGGTACACTTGTCCACATGGCGAACATCAGACCCAAGCGAAGAGTCATCAGACACAACCCCCAAACCGAGAATTCGTGGAGTGGGGGATGGTTATAGGGGACCAGTGGGCGTGTCCTCCAAAGCTTGCCCGTGTCCAATCACCCCTCGGTAGGCGTTAACCCGTGGTGCAGGAATGCGGTGCCAGTGTCATGTCCGGTATGGTCAGGACCTACAATCAGTCCATGGAAGGGAGGCGGAGCCGGATTACACCCAAAATGGCCAATATTGCAGCTTACCGATCACCACAGGCAGCGCCTGCATTCGGTTTTCACCTGGTGATCCTGCCAGTAACACCCTCCGGGCTTAGGGTGTCACCACTCCAGGTGGAGGAGCAATGGAGCCAACCCTTGGACAGCAGCATTGTCGGTGTGGGGGGACGGGGGGGGACGGACAGACTATCGGATTTAGAGGAACGCCAGACAACACTTTACAGGAAGGTTTCTGTTTAACCTTTTGTGATAAAAGCTGATCATTGTCAGCACCCCTGTCAGTGGTAAATGGTTTGTCTCAACCCTCTAACTGACACTTTGTCTGGACAACTGAACGAGCGACTTTTCTGTTGGCAGGAAAGGACTTTTCTGGAGAAATGAAACGACTTTTCTGGCAGGATCTCGGGTGAAGAGCGACTTTTCTGGCAGGAGCTCCGGGTGAAGAGCGACTTTTCTGGCAGGAGCTCCGGGTGAAGAGCGACTTTTCTGGCAGGATCTCCGGGAAGAGCGACTTTTCCGGCAGATCTCCGGGTGAAGAGCGACTTTTCTGGCAGGATCTCCGGGTGAAGAGCGACTTTTCTGGCAGGATCTCCGGGTGAAGAGCGACTTTTCTGGCAGGATCTCCGGGTGAAGAGCGACTTTTCCGGCAAGATCTCCGGGTGAAGAGCGACTTTTCTGGCAGGATCTCCGGGTGAAGAGCGACTTTTCTGGCAGGATCTCCGGGTGAAGAGCGACTTTTCTGGCAGGATCTCCGGGTGAAGAGCGACTTTTCTCCGGGTGAAGAGCGACTTTTCTGGCAGGATCTCCGGGTGAAGAGCGACTTTTCTGGCAGGATCTCCGGGTGAAGAGCGACTTTTCTGGCAGGATCTCCGGGTGAAGAGCGACTTTTCTGGCAGGATCTCCGGGGTGAAGAGCGACTTTTCTGGCGAGGAAAGCGATTCCGCAGGTGAAGAGCGACTTTTCTGGCAGGATCTCCGGCTGAAGAGAGCGACTTTTCTGGCAGGATCTCCGGCTGAAGAGCGACTTTTGAAGAACGACTTTTCTGGCAGGATCTCCGGGTGAAGAGCGACTTTTCTGGCAGGATCTCCGGGTGAAGAGCGACTTTTCTGGCAGGATCTCCGGGTGAAGAGCGACTTTTCTGGCAGGATGAAGAGCGACTTCTCTGGCAGGATCTGAAGAGCGACTTTTTTCTGGCAGGATCTCCGGCTGAAGAGCGACTTTTCTGGCAGGATCTCCGGCTGAAGAGCGACTTTTCTGGCAGGATCTCCGGGCTGAAGAGCGACTTTTCTGGCAGGATCTCCGGGTGAAGAGCGACTTTTCTGGCAGGATCTCCGGGTGAAGAGCGACTTTTCTGGCAGGAGCTCCGGATCTCCGGGTGAAGAGCGACTTTTCTGGCAGGAGCTCCGGTGAAGAGCGACTTTTTTTCTGGCAGGAGAAGAGCGACTTTTCTGGCAGGAGCTCCGGGTGAAGAGCGACTTTTCTCTGGACTTTTCTGGCAGGAGCTCCGGGTGAAGAGCGACTTTTCTGGCAGGAGCTCCGGGTGAAGAGCGACTTTTCTGGCACTTTTCTGGAGCTCCGGGTGAAGAGCGACTTTTCTGGCAGGAGCTCCGGGTGAAGAGTGAACACAGCTGAGGATTGGGACGTCCAATTGAAGTGTTTTGGGTTGAATATCCCTCTAAAGCTTTGGGTTTATACTGCCCCCTATGGGAGGGCTGGAGCCTGACGCACACATTGCAGCCCCTTCTTACCACCAGCATGCCGCAGTTTGTAGTAGAGCAGTGCAGAGAGGAGGATGGATGGATGGATGGATGGATTTCTCATCCCCCAACAACGGCTCACAGAGCTGCCTGGAGGACCTTCCTCAGACGAGGCAGAAAAGTCCACCGGCTGGAATTGGAAGGTGTGTGACCAGGAGGCAGCCAGAGGGGGGCAGTGGTGAGAGGCAGGGACTGTCCTGGGCAGGAAGGAAGGCCTTGTCCTTGGTTTATGATGAGAGTTCCGGGATCATCCATCCGCTCCAACCATCCCATCGCTTCCCAGAGAAAACAACCCGTTGTGGGTGGGAGTGATGAGGGACAGAAAACGACAGTTCTGAGCACAATCGTCTGTTGCTGCCTTGAACCCCGTGAGAAAAGAAGTGCGGGGGAGCCGCGCTCGGGGACAGGGGCTCATTATAATGGCCGAGCTGATTGTTTCCCCGTGTCCTGTGCAGAGGGACTGGGAGGGGCTTTGTCATCAATCAGCTGCTGCACCTGCAGGGCTCTGAGGAAAGTGGCGGGGTCTGCATCCCTCCAGATCCGCTTTCCCTTTGGGAGTATCTCACCAAAAATGACATGTTTGTTGCAGGGGATGCCCAAAAATCTAACGTGTATCTGAGGGTAGACTTCTGGGAAGCCAATCACACAGCAGGGAATGACATTTCTGGGGGCGGTCCATGTACCATCTGTGTACAGAACACCTCCTGGCGGCCATATTGTATTTGACAGAAAATGACCGAATGATGCACTCCAATAAAATATC